TTTTTTTTTTTTTTTTTTTTTTTTAAATACATTTAATCTCTTTCTTTACAGAGCTAATTCAGAAAATAGAGAAAATGGACTTTACTTTTAAAATTAGTAGATGCCTCCAGAAGGATGGAATACTAGACAGCCACTAAAAAGTACATTATCACGTTGAATGATATGTGAAAAATGCTCATGATAGGTTAAGTAAAAAACAGATTACAAGACAATGGGTACAGTACTTTATCAATTGTGTTCAAAAAAGACTATGAAGATAAACACTAAAATAGTAGTTATTTCTGGGAAGTTGGTTTTTATTTATTTACATTTTATTTTATTTTTGTGAGTCAGAGTCTCGCTCTGTCACCCAGGCTGGAGTGCAGTGGCGTAATCTCAGCTCACTGCAACCTCTGCCTCCTGGGTGTAAATAATTCTCATGTCTCAGCCTCCCAATTAGCTGGGATTACAGGCATGCACCATCACCCCAGCTAATTTTTGTATTTGTAGTAGAGACAAGGTTTCGCCATGTTGGCCAGGCTGCTCTTGAACTTCTGATCTCAGATGATCCACCCACCTCAGACTCCCAAAGTGCTGGGATTATAGGCATGAACCACTGCACCTGGCCCAACCATGGGAATTATTTAGCAAAGGGTAAAACAGTTAATTTTAACCCATTAGCAGTCTGAAGTAATGTCTTTTTTTATTCATAATTATTTAAAACATTTTAATAAAATACCAAAAATCTTCTGTACATTAGAAACTGAACAATTCTCCTGCCTAACACAAGAATGTAACATATAATGAAAAAATTATTACTAAGTACTTACGCCAGTGTCATGTTGTTGCTAGGATCAAGGCCAACTTCTATAACAGTAGTGCCTTCAATGTCCACTTCTTTGCAAGGAGTTGTATTTCGTCCAGTTACCCTGCAGGCCTGATAAAATCCATGTGGTTTCACTCGTCCAGAGTCGTTGCCCACAAACACTTGCAACACTACAGGTTCATTGTGGCCTTCCAGCTGAAATTAGAAAACATGCAGCAGAAACACTAATTGGCATTACAAATAATCTAATTATAAAATCAAATATTTAAGACCAAATCCTCTACTTGTAACTGGGTTACATTTAAAAACATTTAAATCTTCCAGAAAAATAGAGGTAAAACATTTTCACAAAAGAGTTGGTTAAATTCCTGAAGTCATGCTTTTAATTCTGTAATAACTATACTTAAATTATAAATTTAGATGTTAGATGATAAATTATCATTTATAATTTATTTGTACAAGCAGATGAGAATGAATGCACAGCACTTTGGGCAGCATTTGGGTTACTCAGGACTTACCATCATAACTAATGAAAAAACTTACAAACCTATGTTGGTGGCATCATCATCATTATGAAATGAGAGTACATATACCAAATTTTTATTCTAACTAAAGCTACTTGAGTAGAGAAGTACAAGTGCAGCTATATGAGTAACAGGGAAATTAAGCTCATTTTCATGGACTAGATACATACATATAACACCATTAAATCCTGGGCCAAAATATTATGGTCCGAGAGGCTGCTAGTTCAAAGTAGGATCTATGGATGATTACAGGTCACTAGCAAGCCTTCATAAATTAAATTATAGTTTGTAGGCTGAAAAATAAATAAATATTTAAAACAGCACTTGGGAACAAGTGTTTCCAATCCTGATTCTTGATAAGATTTATAGTTAAACATTGAAACTAATAGAGAAGGCAGAAAATTACAAAGTAAATTGTACAATGCATACCAAGTGCTTAAAAAACTGACACATCTTTTCTATTCCAGTACAGTCCTATCTCTGTAAAATGGTATAATGAGGATAATAAGCAAACTAGTCAATTTGCTGGTCAGCAGAACCTAGATGAACAGTGTCTGGCACATAGAAGAGTGCAGTATTTGGTTTTTTTGTTTGTTTTGTTTTTTATCATAGCAGCAGCCAACTAGGAGATTTTTTGCCTGTCTAGGAGTGCAGTATTTGTTGAATGAATGACTAAACAAACTTTTTTTTTCTTTTTTTGAGATGGAGTTTTGCTTTTGTTGCCCAGGCTGGAGTGCAATGGTGTGATCTCAGCTCACTGAAAACTAAGCCTCCTGGGTTCAAGTGATTCTCCTGCCTCAGCCTCCCAAGTAGCTGGGATTACAGGCATGCACCACCATGCCCGGCTACAGATAAACTTTTAAGGTCAATTCATTCCCTTTCATAGTAAAGCAATTAATCTAACAATACTTCGAACTAGACAAAACATAACTTAAAAGTCAGGGCAATTCAGTTAAACATAATGACCAAACTACCAAAATATCTGGCTAGACAAATATTTACACAAAGCATAACATAAGTTTTTCACTTGCTTATTACCTGTCCTGGGTTTGAAGGATTGGGTGTGGGTTAAGGTAGTAGCTAGGAAAAGGGGTAGACATGATATTGTACATGTGACTATTAACCAACCTTATAAATGGTGGCAGACACGTTTCCCAATTCAGAGTTTCAATCATAATTTCATTCAAGTATAAAATGAAAGGCAGTCCAACTCTGCTCCAAACTTAAAATACTGTTCAACTAATATATTTATACAAACTGTATTTAATAAGAATCTATCATGGAATTAGCCAAAATTCCTCCCTGTTTAGTATTTTGCAAAGGGTAGGAACACTTGTTAAGTCCTCTCCCTATTCCCCCATTTTTCTGAGGCTTGTCTTCAAAGACAAATATTCTTTATAACAAGATATCCTAGGTGCTAACACTTAAGTCTCTTTTAACTTTTAGTCTCAACCTTTAAAAAAATTAAGACTCAATTGATATCCCATTTTTTTTCTCATTTTCTTCTTTCCCCCTGTACTTCAGTATATACAAATGACATTCTATTTCTTTTTTTTTTTTGATATTCTATTTCTTAAACTGAAGATTTAAAACCAATTCCTCAGTCCAATAGTCCTGATTACAATAATCATCTCAAAAACCTTATTTTCAAAGTTCTTAATAATTTCTACTATATTTCTTTGAATTCACCTTAACATTTCTTTCTCCAAGTCAAGCAAATCACTTGAGATCAGAAGTTTGAGACCAGTGTGGCCAACATGGTGAAATCCTGCCTCTACTAAAAATACAAAAATTAGCTGGGCCTGGTGGCACACTCCCAGATACTCTGGTAGCTGAGGCTTAATAATTGCCTGCACCTGGGAGGCAGAGGCTGCAGAGAGCTGAGATCGCATCACTGCACCCCAGCCTGGGCAAGAGGGTGAGATTCTGTCTAAAAAAAAAAAAAAAAAAATAAAATTAAAAAAAAAAAAAAAAAAAAAAAAAAAAAACTCTTTCTAAATATAAAGTTTTGGATGATTCTAATTCAAATATCAAATATGAAGGAAGAAAATTCATGACTGAAAATACTTTACTTTTCAGGACATATTCTCATTTCCCTTTACATTTTAACTAAAATTCAGATGACAAATAAAGTAAATACCTTTACTGTAGGAAAGCCTTGCTGTGTTCTGTCTTTTACTGAGCCTCGGCTGCCCTCAGTAAGGTACCGAGCTCGGTGCTGTGTCTCAGGTTGTACAACTATCTTCAGCTCCTTTCCCTCACTTTTAACAGGATATTGTCCACACAACATAGGGCTCTTCTTTACTCCAGTTCCTTTTTGGTTTTCCAATGTTCTGAGAAATCAGAGCACAACATGAAGAAAGTATCAAAAAGAGTTTTTTGATAAAAGATAAAAAGTCATTTAAGACAAAGGAAGAAACAGAACTGGCAATAATAGTAAAAACAACTATTTAACTTACTGGAAAAATAAAATATTGCCTAAAGGAAGATACATAAGCAAAGTATCTTCAAACGTTTTATTAAAAGTTTATTATATGGTACAAAAATAAGAGAAAGTAAGTTTGACAGAAAACGAATGTATATGAGTAGTAGGAGGAAGGGAGAAAGATTGAGTGCAATAAACTGAGAATAACAGCAAAGAATAGTTAATGTCACTATGGCCTTTCACATTGCACTTCAGTCAAAATAAGATTTAAAAATTCCATGTATGCATTCCATATATAAATTCCAAATTCTATATAAAGCTATAAGATTACCTACTGTTATTTTTTAATTGCAAAGCAAA